ACTTCCATCATGAGATTTGAATACTCCAAGCCAAGTTCGAAGTTGCCTTCGACCTCGACGTGAAAGGTAGATAGTTCGAGGGTTTGGTCCCAAATCTATATTTCAATTCTTATTTGATTTATTTGTTTGATTTATTTCTTGAAGTTACTAACGTGTGTATTGTTTTGATAGAAATATATATAAGGCATCAAAGTAAGCAATTCGATTACTTAATTATTATTTTAATTCCTAGTATCATGTTAGGATGTTGTTTTGAATTCCTAGTACATGTTAGGATGCTTTTATGATTTTTAGTATCATGTTAGGATGTTGATTTTGATTCCTAGTATCATGTTTAGGTTAAAGTTTTGATTTTTTTTTTTAGTGACATGCTAGGGTTTGTTATTATTCCGTTCAGTATCATGCCTAGGATCTTGCTAATAATGTTTTGATGGTATTATTATGATGATGATTGTTGTGTTAATTATACATTGCTTGATTATTCATGATTTATTTTTATTGCTTGATCACGCCCTTTCTTGTAGGTTTAAAGGGAATTTGTACTTGAAATCACGCCTAATTAGATAACTAATAATTTGATTTTAGGCTTAATCTGATTTTAATTAAAGTGATCGTTAAGAATAGATTTATTTGTGCATTAATAATCAACCAACATAGATTAAACAGGTTTAGGGCTAATTTGATGTATGTATGTTAATCGAAAAGCGCACATGAATATCATAAGAATTAAGTAGAGGTCGATTTAGGGCGGGTTCAATCTCTTTTAGGTTGGATTTCTACCATCATCCCCGAATATCCAATCATGGTTTCGGACCACTATAGAGTTAGCGATCTCCGTGGTCGTGAATGGGGTGTAACCTTCACACCCATGAACGATTTACCAGTTCCTAAAACTTGTTGGCGACTCTTCTATTTCTAGCTTCCTTCCCTTTGGATGCCACCATGCCTAAATGCATGATCACAATGGGGCTTAAAGTTGATGTTTGAAATATTCCCTACAGTTAGCCTATTAGCTCAATTGGTCGAGCACTTTGTTCCTAAATTGCACAAAAGATGTAGGTTCAAATCCTACATAGGCTACTAGTTTAAAACATTTATAATTGTACTCAATATTTTTTTTTTTTTTGTGACAGCCAAAATAAAGGGAGTTTAGTCCCTAACAATATTACAAACTACACTAGCTCAATGAAACATTGATAATAAGTCAGAATTATGTTGAAGTAGCATTCTTGCGTGTTGAGCCCCTGCATAATCACCCTGCATCCACTTAATGGTTCTTTTTGTTGTGGGTCAAAATCTGTATATGCCAGAGATGTAATCTCGCAACTGCTTGTAAGCCCTTGTAAATGGTTCTTACCATGCTTGACTCTCTATCCTGTAGTTGAAAGTGTTCCTCTCCTTCCCGAATGACAACTTCTATAGACTTAAGCATCCAGCACCATCTTCCATGCTTGCTTCTGTTCCTTGTTAGCTTTCTCTCCAAGTTTACAGGACTGCAAGCACTGTTTCCGGCCTGTAATTAAGCTAGGTGTGGCACTCACTCTACAGCTGCACATCTCTACACTAGGTCCATAATTGCACTCAATTGGGTATACATAATAAGATGTTATAGTCACAATCATTTCATTTAACTTTCTTCAAATGAGTAAACATTATTGCTCATTTTAGCAAAAGAATGTTGCTCATTTCAAAGATAAGTAAATTTGTATTGCTCATTTCAAAGATGAGCAAATATTTTTGCTCATTTCACAGATGAGTAAATTTGTTTTGCTCATTCATAAAATTGGCACAAATGAGCAAAAAAATCAGATGAAAATTGCAATCTTTCGCAAGTTTTTCTCATTTTGAAAATTAGCAATCTGAGCAAAAGTAATAATTCAATAGCTTGTTCAAATCTAACAAAATTTGCTCATTGTGATTAGTTTTACACAAATGGAATATATGTATGATTATTGGACTTGAATGACAAAAAACATTAACATACACGTTTGCTCAAATTTTAGAAGTTTTGCTCATTTGCATATAAATAATTTAATTAATAAACCTACGTGGGATTCAAACCCACTTCCTTTGTGCATTTGCACAATAATGCTCTACCAATTAAGCTAGTAGGTTAGTGTTATGAGGAAAATTGTCAATAGAATAATCTCAAATTATTAGTAAAGCATATCTCACCTTGAGATTATTTACTTGATAACAAGAAAACAAGTTTTTTTTTACCCTATACTGTACTCAGAGCTGCATAGTGACTTGTACAATTTTATTTTTAAAAAAGCAAAGCATTAACCAATGACACTTGTCATAGTTAATAGAAACACGAGTAACAAACAACAATTTATGTTTAACAAAAGCATTAAACTATTTGCTTGATTCCAAAGACTAAACCACATACTTTTTATTTAGACAAAAAAAAAAAAAAAAAAAAAAAAAAAAAAAAAAAAAAAAAAGAGAGAGAGAGATTTACCTAGCTTAAGTCTCATATTGGCTCCATTTGAAACGTATGGGTAACAAAGCTAAAATATGGACCTAGTGCAGAGCTTCCATCCTTCACAAGCACCAGGCCATACAATTCTGATCATATTAAAAGCTGGTGAATGCTTTCTTCTGGAAAAAAGACATATTGAAAGCATTATAGGGAGACCATCCTTTACTTATCCCAACATTATTACCTTTTTAAAAACATTCAAAGGATTATAAAATCAAGCAAATTTGATATTAGCAATAGCTAGCTAGCTCATGACACAACAAAGGTAAAAGGGTCAATTGACCGTCTTTATCAATCAATAACTAGACAAGATGTACACATATCACAAATTGATGTTCACATTTATATGTGTGGTCAAGAAATTAGGAAAATACAATAACTTTCTCAACAGGGGCATGCAGACTACATACCTGGCTGTATAACATCCCATAACAGAACCACACAGAGGATATGTAGCCTCTTATGCTTCTTGATAAGCTTATAGCAGCCCCAATGCACTCTTCAACTTCACACGGCAGCCTAGTTTCACGACCCAACCTTACCTTATTTCTTTTAAGCCAACCAACTCATGATGTGTTTTATGCATAAAAGAACCTTACCAATCTGCAAAACTAAAACACACAAGAACCTCCCTTTCACCACCTCGTCTAACCTTGCCTCCTCACATACCTTCATTCCTAGCAGTCAGACACTTGGTTAGTACACATGATGTTTAGTCTCCTCGTCACAACCGCATCTTGGTCACTTTGCCTCAACATTATTTGATCATTAGAAATATGAGCAGAACTATCTGATTAATAAATCAGATACAACACTGATTTATTCTCTGTTTATAATGAACATGAAAATCAATACTAGTGCCACTAACAATCAAAAATATCAATTTCACCTAAATTTGTTCATTTAGGTTTGCCCATATATATGTTTCAATTTGCTCCTTTTTCCAACATGATAATTAATCATGTTTCAATATGCTAAATTTAATATGCTTCACAATCAGAATTAAAAATTTATGTAGAATTCAGGATCAATTAATCATTATTCTCATTAAATGCATTAGATTATGTTCATTCATTACCTCTGTTTTCTCACTTGCAGTATAATTAAAATCCGTTATGTTGATTTAACATATTGTGCTCATTTAAATTTTAATGAATAATCTAGATCAATTTATGCTCATTTAAATTCGTTATTGCTAATATATATAGAATTTCGCATCAATTTGCATAAATTATACTATGAATTTTCTCAAATTAACAACAAATATTGATAAATTCGTAAAAAAAAATTGCAAATTTTTTTTTGAAAAAATGCTCAATTGATACTTGGTTGTTGCTAAGAATGATCTTCAATTGTCTATGTGGAATTAAATTTAATTTCGCCATTAATGCTAGAATGAATTTTCGAATAAATTGTAGCAATTGTTTGCAATTTTATGAAGAACAGAATTATAAATTTGAGTATCGAAATAAGGGAGGTGTAAGATATCAGTGCTATCATGCGTAAGGCACATGCATTTTTCTGCGAATTTACCAAAATGCCCTTGGGTATACGTAGAGGAAGGTACACCCGGGTGTACTAAACAGAGGCTAAGAGGGGGGGGGGAGGGGGAGTATTTTGGGTTAGTACCCAAATCTCATTAAGGCTATGTTTGGTTACCTTATTTTTTCTTATCTAATCTAATTTAGATTTATTTATTAATCTAATTTGATGTTCTGATTTTACAAAATTTTGACCTTGTAATCTAACATCTACGCTAATTTTATAAGGAAAAAATGTATCAAATGGAGTCTTATTAGATTTGTAAAATGTGTTATTTTAATTTTTTATTACGAAATTAATAATATATTGCGATAAAAAATTGCACATAAAGTGATAAAGTTTGATCATAACTCTAAACCAATCTAATCATAACTTAATTTTTCTGACCTGTTTTGAAATAACTAAAAATAAAGTGAACTACACATACTATAATACACTTTTTTTTTTTTTTGAATAGTGTAGTCATATAGAAACATTGTCATTTGGTATTTTATTGTTTAATTTCACCAAATGCCCAATTTTTAACTTTTTAGATTTTTTTCATAATAAATATTTAATATATTCCTTCCTTCTCAAATTATGTACCTTTCAGTTGCACATGATTTTATTTTAGTAAAGAATGCAGTGGGAAAAAAAAAAAGAGGTGAGTATGGGCTAAATAAATTGGAATATCCCAACTAGGAATAATAAGACGAATAAATATTTATTATTAAATGTGTGCATTAAAATCGCGTTGAAGTAATGCATAATAATCAAATAATTGGAGTAAAAATTAAGTTCACACCATTGGCTTTACCAAGTATCAAGCTGTCAACAGTCAAAGTATACTTACATAGAAATGAATCAAATGTATCAAAAACTCCCATATTAATAGGTCCTAAATGATTTCATTTGATCTATTTGATTCACTATTATTAGATACTCTATTACAACTTCATACATTGTCTCTCATTTCATATTTTCAAAACAACCTTAATCCCTTAAACCCTTACAATAATGGATACTGATGATAGGGAAAACAAGGCAGCTGCAACGTTCGATGTCGACGATTCGACAACGAACACAACCCTAATAACCTCCGTAGAGAAAACATTCGAGGGAACCGTGGTACCACCATGGAAACAACAGCTAACGATTCGAGCATTCGTCGTAAGCTTTGTGTTGAGCATTCTATTTACATTCATTGTTATGAAACTCAACCTTACTACTGGGATTATACCATCACTCAATGTTTCGGCTGGATTGTTGGGTTTCTTCTTTGTTAAGACTTGGACAAAGTTGCTTGAGAAATCTGGTTATCTTAAACAACCTTTTACTCGTCAAGAAAATACTGTTATTCAGACTTGTGTTGTTGCCTCCTCCGGTATCGCCTTCTCCGGTGAGTTCATCTATTTTTACCGGCAAAAATTGTTCTGGATTAAATCTGATTTTTTTGTTGTTTGATATTAATTATTACATTTGTTAGCTTAATGGCTGATTTGATAGTTATCTTGATGCAATTTTCTGTATTATTAGTCCCTTCATTATTTTTTAATTGAATTAAGTAAAAAATTTCAATTCAAATGGAATCTAATAATTTAATGATAATTATGTACAAATAGATTGTTTTTGTAGAAATTCACCTTTGATTTATAGTTTTCCAATATTAAATTTTTATAATTTTTTTAATAATTATGGAAGGAACATATAATATGAAAAAATCAAAATTAATATCGAGAAGGATTATGTATGTTTTGAAAGAATAATGTTCATTTTTTTATGGTATTCTGAGATAACTGATCCTATAATATAACTGGTCAACCCACTAAATAATTCAAAATTAGCTTTGAATTATTGTAAAAAGTATGATTTCCTGGTTAATTTTTTAAACTAAAGGTTGAGAATGCATGAAAGGAAATTATAAGGGCCCAAAAACCTCGAAATGTCCTGAAATATTGAACAATACAAACACATCTTGTTTAACGATGTACACCAAGAAATCAATTAATGCGTTCAAACAAGGATTCAAGAACATTTTCTAAGAATTTAGAACATCAGTTGAAAATTTATTTATTTTGTATCAATTATAATTTGTAACGTATGGAGTGTTTGGGTGTTCGTATGTTTGCTAGAAATTCATCCAAAATTGATTATTACCCAAGGACTTGGATTAATTTGTTGTCTTACCTCATTGGCCATCAATGAAACCGCGTGAAATAGGTGTTTCCATCATAAGAAGGATCATTGCGTACTCATTTTCCTCTTTTAAAAGATTATCAAATCTTTTTTTCTATTTAAGTGTAGTACATTTCTATTTAGAAATGTTTTGATTTCTCACGCAATAAGCTATTCCATAGGGAGTATTTGGTTTTAGCCATGTACAGTGCACCATTTGTTGTATTTTCAATTTTACTCATATTTAGTTATGGGCATACATTATCTTATTGCCAAAATAAGCAATTTGTTGAGGAATTCAAAACCTTGAATTCAAAAGTTAGCGTATTAAAGAGTGAATTAAAGTTTTTGTTTTGGTAATTTGGAAGTTAGTTTTTCAATTACTTTCATCTAAAACAGGTTTGCATATAAGTCATATAAGACATTAACACCCTAAAACACAAAAGTTAAGCTTATCTTACAGCTATTGTTCCCTTAAAAGAATATTGAAATTCCCCCAAAAACAACGTGTACCAAAATTATCCTTTTGTAATTGGATTTCAGTATTTCACATTTCACAGTTGTTTTCCATTGTATAATGATACGCCAATAAAATTGAGTAGGTATGTATCATCAGTGGTCAATTAAAAGGATTTTTTAGGATACAAAAAATAATAATAATAAAAATTAAAAAATAAATAAATTAGAGATTATTAAATAGTTTTAGTAGGAAATATATGGAAATGAATTCAATATGGAAATAAATAATAATTGATTTGTTTTTTTTTTTTTTTGAACTAGAAATAGCAACAAATGTAAATCGACCTGCAAGTATGGAATCCAAATCTTCTATTTCATGATTTGTGTCACTTATGTAATTATATATTATGGAGCATTAACATTTGGAGAAATACGATGAAACAAATAATTAAATCAATTAATAAACCAATTAGAAAAATAAAGTCACACACCGTAAGTGCCCACGAACAGGGCTGTAAATTATGTAGCCTCACAAAGTCATTGTAGATTGACACCAAAAAAAAAAAAAAAAAAAAAAGTCATTGTAGAAGTATTAGGTATAGCACTTGCAAACAACACGCGTTAGTGTCTCACTTTGACAATAGGAAAAAAAAAATAGTGCAACCCTATAATGTTACTCTTATTGACCTATAGTTTTGAAATGAACTCTTACTTGATCTTGTGGAATAGACTCTCTCTCTCAGCTTGCTTGTGTCGAGGGGTTGGAAAGTATTAAAGGAGGAGGTTGTGTATCATCATGCTAGTGTTAAACTCTATTAGACTAAGCTAGTCATTGTACAATTAGATTGAATATTGCATAAATGATTTCGGCTTTTACTTGTATGTGTATACTATGTAGTGAAGAAAAAAATTTGATATTGAACAGGAGGTGCGGCAAGTTACGTTCTTGGGATGAGTGACAGAATTGCAAAGTTGGGAGATGGCTCTGTACATGACACCAAGAATCCTTCTCTTGGATGGATGATTGGCTTTATCTTTATTGTTAGCTTTATTGGACTTCTTTCTGTTGTTCCCCTCCGTAATGTACGAATAATTGAATTTCATTAACACTTTGTATGAATACGAGTAAAAGAAGGGGAACGAGCTCACTTGTGTTGGTTTCGGGGTTAGCAGGGAAGGGAAGGGAGAGCAAGGGGAGACAAGTCCTTTGACTTCCCTCCCTCGCTCTCTTGTAGATACCATCCCTTCAAAATTGGGAGTGAATTTGAAGGGAAATCGGAGCTCCCTCTTCCCACTCCTATCTCTTTCCCTTTTAAAATATGTTTATTTATTTCACTAATAGTTAATTTATTTTTGGACGGATTTATGTTGGTAGAACAATAAAAAATGGAGGCAATACTTTCAATTCGTGATTGTATGGTATCATATTGCACATAATAATCTATATATGCTTTAAAACATGGATGCTTAGATTATGATTATCGACTACAAACTCATTTACCCAAGTGGGACTGCTACTGCACATCTCATCAATAGCTTTCACACTCCAGAAGGTGCCATTATAGCTAAGTAAGCGTTACATTCTTAGCTTAAATACTCGATTCCATTGTAATTCATTCATGGAGTGAATCGAATCAAATAATTCCTATTTTTTAATTATTGTAGGAAGAAGGTGAAGATATTAGGCAAATTCTTCTCTTTCAGCTTCTTGTGGGGTTTCTTCCAATGGTTCTTTGCAGGAGGTGATGATTGCGGATTTGTGAATTTCCCAACTTTTGGTCTAAAAGCCTATGATCAAAAGTATGTGTTAACTGAAAATCTTCTATTTAGTTAAAGCTACTATACGTGCTTTACATAAACAGATCGATTTAGTTTTGAGAGAAGACTGTCCTAACTACAAATTTTCTACAGGTTTTACTTTGATTTTTCTGCAACATATGTTGGTGTGGGAATGATATGCCCTTATATTGTTAACATATCTTTGCTACTTGGAGCAATTATATCATACGGTATCATGTGGCCTCTTATAGCGAAACAGAAAGGACATTGGTTCGACGCCACCCTTGAAGACAGCAGCCTTCATGGCCTGCAGGGTTACAAGGTATAAAATTTTTGGTTGGTTATTGTATTTTCAAACAGAATTGATGATAGATAAATAATTTATAATCTCTAATCTTTTGATTGCAGATTTTTATTGCAATAGCCATAATTTTGGCAGATGGACTATACAATTTTGTTAAAATCTTCTATAGATCAATGTCAGGCTTGTACAAGCAGTATAAGGCAAAGAGCTCCGGCTCAATCCTCCCTTCTAACGAACACCAGACCCCTGAAGTCTCCCCTGAATCTTTTGATGACCAACGACGAACTCAATATTTCCTCAAGGATAGCATTCCAAATTGGTTTGCAGCAGCTAGTTACATCGCCATTGCTGTAATCGCCATGAGTGCACTTCCAAAGATCATCCATCCACTCAAGTGTATCATATCTTAGTCATGTACATTGTTGCACCAATTTTAGCCTTTTGTAACGCGTATGGTTGTGGCCTAACTGACTGGTCTTTGGCATCTACTTACGGAAAGTTAGCAATCTTCACAATTGGTGGATGGGCCGGTGCTTCTCATGGTGGGATTGTTGCAGGGCTCGCGGCCTGTGGTGTTATGATGAACATTGTCTCAACAGCATCAGACCTTACACAAGACTTTAAAACAGGGTACATGACACTAGCTTCACCTCGATCAATGTTTGTGAGCCAAATAGTAGGGACTGCAATGGGCTGTATCATATCACCGTGTGTCTTCTGGATTTTCTACATGGCTTACCCTGATCTTGGATTGCCAAAGACTACATATCCGGCACCTTTTGCATCCTTATATCGAAACATAGCTCTTCTTGGAGTCGAAGGAGTGAGTTCATTGCCTAAACATTGTCTCTTGCTATGCATAATATTTTTCGTTGTTGCAATTGTTATAAATGGACTTAAAGACGTGGTATGGGAGAAATACTCGAAATTCATACCAATTCCGATGGCCATGGCTATACCATTCTACATCGGAGGCTACTTTGCTATCGACATGTGTGTTGGTAGCTTGATACTCTTCGTGTGGGAGTACAACAATAAGGCTAAGGCTGATATGTTCGCGCCTGCTGTTGCTTCTGGGCTGATTTGTGGTGATGGTATATGGAGTTTGCCAAGTGCAATACTTGCTTTGGCTGGTGTAAATCCTCCACTCTGCATGAAGTTCGAATCTAGCAAATCTAGCTAAGTTGGAAGAAATTAAGCTAATGATATGAACAGACTATTAGTGTGTGGATTTAATTTCCTAGTTACATAAAAATTGTAGATTTGGGTTGCTATTTTATCGTTAATGCATGAATCCAGTACAATTCAACAATTGCGTCCAAAAAAGTCTGCTTTTTCTTCCTTATATTAATTAAGATCGATCATAGGTGAATTTTCATAAAATTTTATATGAAACATGTGAAAAGGGAGAAAATTAGAGTCTAATATAAAAAAAAAAAAAAAAAAAAAAAAAACCTCCACCAGGCTTTCATTTTGTTTCTCTTGGTCTAAATCAAGGGGGACACGACAGGCTTCACATATTTTATTTTGGATGTTGTATGGCCGCATGGGTTAAATTCGAAAATTCGGAATGGCTTAAATTACAGATTTGATCATGACTTCCTTTCCTGCATCGGAAAGGAATTTCTCCTTCCACCCCGATAACTTCTTCCAAATTATGTCTTTAATAGCCAGAAAAACAGCTTTCTTCGATCTCGTAAGTCTACTTCATTCCATAAGTATTTTGTTATTTTTTCCCATGCATCTTAAGATTAATTAATTTGCAAAAAAATCATTAAAGGTTTTATTATTTTTCCTTTCATATATCACAACAACATCTGTATTATTATTAAAACTCTTAAGAAAAGCATATGATATTAATGAGAGATTATTTGAAGCTTTAACCTTTCACTTACAACATGAACAAATTACCATATACTTCGTATATAAGCTATATTATTTTGGATCTTGCTAACAAGTGTCCTGGGGCGTTAGATAAAGGATTAATATATTACTTAAAAAGTATTAAGTTCAATATGCATGACAAAATTACGCGTCGATCGGTGTAATTAATGTTAATTTCACTATAATATTTTTCGTATTTAGCTTTCTTATCTAATGTCCTGGGGGCGCTCGTTAGCTTTTGTCTATTATTTTTGTCTCTATACAATCAACTAATAATTATTACGGAATATATTGTATTTAATAGATAACAGATTTAATTTCTCAATAATTAAATGAATAAGATTGTTACGTATTGCAAATTGCATAAAAAATAATTATTAAAAAAATAAAAATAAAATAAAACAATAATGGCAAACATATTCAACAATGTTTTATTTCCTTCCCTCTTTTCATTTGATACCTAGAGTTATATATATATAAACTAAACACCGATCCGATAACAATAATGGGCAATCCTATATACTGAGTTTCAATTACAAGTCTTGAACATACATAGTGATTATCATTATTCAATTGCAAAACAAATAATACTCGTTCATACGATTAAAGTACAACAAATTAAACTTGAATCACCACAAATTGATCGAAGGATTTTAGTAAAGGCGCTTGCACACGAGAAAACCGTTGCTTAATGGTAATTGGCATATTTCTACTTGAGGATTTTGTGATATTTCCTTAGTGAAGTTGAGACATTGTTGCCTAAAATGTCTCTTGTTTTCTGGCACTTCTTGCTCCTGTTTAGTCACATACCCTTCGCATAGGGTGTTACTAAAACAAATTAACCCTCCAATCTTTACTAGCTTCACTAATCTCTTATAGTAATCAATGTAATTATTGGTCTGAGCTTCATTAATGATTGCAAAATCAAAGCTTCCCAAGTTTAATTTCTGCATAAGAAAACACATTAATTGACAAGTTAAAGATCGACTAGAAGTAATATATTTACATACAATTTTTGTAATTAATAGCCCATCTAGTTGTTTGAGAAATGTTGTCACATTTATATAATACTACTAGTAATATTTCTAGAATTAAAAATTACATATAAGTGACATATAACTCTACAATATATATAATTTGAAATTATACATTGAAATTAATTAATCTCTTCACCTTAAAAAAAATAATGTGAAGTATTAAGTAAAAACTAGGTGAAGATGATTTTGGTTCAATATAAATTATGTGAAAATAATAGAACCTATACTATTTCTTTACAATTACTATTAAAAGAGAAGTTTTCATAAAATCATATATTTATATCATATCTTTAAATATGAAATTAGTTAAGATAAAGAGACAATAAATTTGGAACAGAGAGAGTATTTACGATAGTTGCTTGTATAGATGAGTGCTTACATCTTTGGCAAATTGATCAAGAATGGGAAGCGCTTCGGAATCAATGAAGTTGATTTTGTGCTCAAGTCCTGCTTTCTTTATGATAGGTAAACCAAGTTCATAGGACTTTGGATATGGACTAATGGCTAGAATCTGCATATGATCATAAAGAAATTGGTACCATATATAATTAATTAATCGCACTATTCATTTGAAATTGTAATTTTATTGGATTTTGCTTGGTATAATTAAATTAAATTACCTCGCCATCTTTTGGAATAGAGAGAGCAGTTAAGAGTGTTAAGTATCCAGTAGAAACTCCAATTTCAATCACCATTTTTGCATTCACTAGCTTTAAGAGCATGCCTATATATTGTCCACCAAGTGGACACGTAGTACTAACATTGTCTCTGAAATTAATTAATAAAACTGTCAATTCAAAAAAAAAAAAAAAAATTGTACGGAGTACCAAGTAAAGAACTATAAAGTCAAATATGTAACATGTTACTCTCTTCGCCGTCTGACTTTTGGTAGTGGAAAGATGTAGACGATAATAAAATATTGGTGAATCAAAATTATAAAAGGAAGACAATTAAAATAGGCCTAACGTAAATTAAAAGTATGACAATCAAATTGAAAAGAGGTAGTATCTAACTCTAACGTCATAACGAGTACTTACAAAGGATGGTTATTATTGTTAGAAGTAGTGACATCTCTCAATTCCTTCAACGGTGCTGGCTCCGTTGGAAATACGGTGGTCTCCAAAATATACTGCCCAACATGCATCATCCATATTAAAACATTATATTATTATAAATCTTAGTCAAAATATATTACCATTTGGTCATTAACAATATTTAAGTTTTATTGTTAAAACAAAAAAAAAGTTTTATTTTGCCTAATGTCTAAGCTATTACTCGTACCTTGTATAGCTCGTTGCTCTGCAGCAGTGATTCGTTTGCAATTGATGATGGCTCCATAGAGGCCATAGCTATTTTACTCTCAAATTTTCGCGGTGCTTTAAAACCTTTATAAGAGATTATTAACTTGAAAAAATTTATAAATTCCAAACAAAACTAAGATGAAAATTCTATTACAATGATAGCAAGGGAAAATTAAGCACACATAATTTAACCAACTTTTATAACTAATGTTATGAATTACTACAATACAATTATTTAAGTAAAATTATTAGTAGAAATATCATGCAATAATTTAATTTAACTGATTGAATTTTAAAAAAAACCAACGTACATGAATAAAATTTGGAGAAATATATGAAATCTAATCAAAGAGCACAAACCTTTTGGTGAAAATAAATGAATGCCTTTCTTGAGCAATATATCAACTAATTTAACTTGTGAAAATTGGATTAATTAGTGGTAAATTTATACACAAAATTTTTGGACTGACCCTTCTTCAAGGTCAAAACAAACGACTAGAAATTTAAAAGTCAAGGCTTGTAAAATATTGTAACCTCTTATGGATTCTTGACTTGGTCAGAATAATGACTTCTGACTTGGGGTCTTGGGTTTAATCTTAATTCAAATCTTGGATTGTACGTTTTACATTCGATCAAAATAAATGATAAATATATGTATTACGTATCCAATTATATAATAATACCAATACTTATAATGCGTAGATTTCAAATGTGGCGGGCTTGTAGTAAACGTTTGTCTGCCAAAAAACTCAGAATACAAGATAACAATTACGTCACCTGAGTAACTGTTTTCTTCTATCTTAAGACTTAAGTAGGTATTAATGTATTATAGATTTATAGCTCGCATATGTTCTTGGAGTAGAATGATATGTCCCGAGTAGACATGACGATTTTGAGTACCCACTATGTCTCTATTTGTTTGTCTTATTTTAAGTACAAGTATATATATAAAGATCGCAATTTTACTCTCACAAAAATTGCTTTATGTAATTATGTCATCATTATTTCACTTTTTCATCAACTTCACTCAAACAAAACTTATAAAACAATATTATAGGACAAATAATTAAAAATGGAGTAGGGATTATAGGAACTATTTTCTTCTACATAAATTTTACACTCAGGTATTATAGTAATTTTTCCTTCTCATTGATGGTAAGAATATTTTCTCACCAAATTCCCTCGTGAGAAAGGTGATGTGAAGGATTGAGAAAGCGAGTAGAGACAAATGTGAAGAATGTTTTTCCTCGTGATTTTTGTCTATATTGTCTTCATAAAAAATTTATCATTGCATTGATAGCGTAACTTAAAGTGATATAATATGAAATGTAATTCCAAATGAAAGAGTATTATTTACTTTCACTGTTCTTTTTTACTTGACCTGTTTTTTTTATTACGCTTGTCAATGCAAAACTTTAACGATCAATAATTTTAATTCTTCATAAGTAAAAATTATAAAAGTTTTATATTAGGATATTACTTATTGAGACGAATTCAAAAAGATCCACTTGAATATGTTTTTTCTTATATATTATTCACAAAAGACGGTCAAAGGAAGGATGATGTATAGTGTAAAAGTCAAATCAGATCAATTTAAAAAAAACGGATGAAGTATGTGTTTATTTCCTTTAAAAAAAACATGTGTTAATTCAATAATTTAAATCGTTTCTAAGACTTACGTATGGCCCATCTCATCATCAAAACTATGAGAAAGGAAAAAAAAAAAAAAGCAACTAATTCAACCAGAGCTACGTACTATGCTCATTTTTTTTGGAAGAAAAATTAAAATTCTTCGATAACAACTCTATTTCAGGTCATCCCATAATAATACATTACTTTATAAATTTAGCAAATCAAAATATTATCCTATGACAGACACCCTTAGATTATAAAAAATTCCAAGGATAGACTATATTAACAAATTAAAGTAGAGACGTAAAAATTAATAAGTGAAATTCTTTTAAAATGACCAAAATCAAATGTAGTCTATTATTTGAGAACGAAGGTAATAGAACAACACAATCATACTTGTACAAAACTGTTCCAATGTAATAATGTTCTCTCACACTTAACCGTATTGAAGTATTCTATACAAATGATATATCATCGATCTTAAGTAAAGATGCTGCAATTTTTTTTTGGCAAAACTAGTACAACTCAAGAAATACCACTTACGGGGTCGAATTCTGTCAAGTGTGGCATATAAAACATGCATATGGAAGTTCTGCTTCACAGTATAAATATCAAGAGAAGACACTCCAGAACATGAATTGTATACATACCTGTTGAATAGCTATGTACAGTATATGAATTTAAGTCACAATGGCTATTTAGCGATTTCTCCGCAAAGAATGCAGCTGCGCAGTTAATGTCTCAAAATCAGGAAGCTTGGGGTGAACATGGCTGGGATTTTTTGTGGAGTTTTCTCTAGAAGGAGTTTTTTCATTATTCAATGTCTCAGGAACATCAGTGCATTTCGGAGTTACTGGTTTTTCTAAAACTGACGAAGATGTACTTATGACATCCTCTGATGATTTCGCAGCCATATTCTGGTCATCATCCCTTCTTGATTGGCCGATGATCCTAGAGCTGGATAATTCAGTAATGTAGGAACTTGAAGACCTCCCCGTCTTTGCTGTATCAGATGCAGTAGATCTGGTAACTGTTCTGGGAGCAGAAGCTTTAGTTCTCCGAGATAGTCCAGCACCTAGAAATGTTTTACTCGCGACAGGTTTAGGTACATCCTCCTCGGAGCTGCTGTCATCATAATCAAAATATCTTGGTGAACTTTTCAAACTAGTTTTACTTGTGTTTCCATCAATCGTACTTCTTGTTCTATATGCCCCCTCAGCGCTGTTTGCATCCTTCCTCGTAATTATCATCTCATTATCATCACTAGATGAATCATAATTTGTATGGACCCCACTCATCTTCACAGGCACCTGTTTGTTGTCTATTTGACTGGATGATGATTGAGATTCATAAGTAGAAGCTTTCTCACTGGAACCAAAAGTATTACTTAGGGATGCGTCAGTAGATTTTGAGGGAGATGAAGCATCAGCTAATCCACCTTTTGGCATGTGCCCATGAGCCCTGTTTCGACGTCCACCAGGCAATAATCCTAGGTTCAACCCCATACCACCATCAGAGGTAGGTTGGGTTTCATATTTAAACTCAGAATCAGGATGTCGTGATTCTGAATGTCTCAAGGACTCCAATGATTTCTGAGGTCCACCTTCATAAGATACATCATGATCAGACCGGCTTTTAAAGCCAGTTGACTGTGCTGCAGAACTATTCCCGTACAATGAACCAGAATATTGTTTTTCCTCCATGTGTTTACTGCTCATGGAATTATCAGTGGTTCCCTTTTCTACTTTTGATGATCTCAGCTCAAAATGGGGGTCTGCACCAGGCATTTGGTTATCATAACTAGGAACCCCAGGATCAAATTTCACTTTCTGCAGCTCTTCCTCATTCCCCGAACTTGCCCCATCAGAATCATCAAAATTCAGAGACATGGGTTCAGTTAATTTTGAATATATTGGTGATCTTCTAAAACTTTCCGAAAGTTCAGGTTCAAGGTGACGATTGTCTTGGTTTATAGAGGAACCTATACATGTAGGTTCAGCAGGAGCATGAAAATTGTGTTCCTCTGTAGGATTGAAAACACTTTTATCATCATCATCAGAGCCAGATTCATCAAAAAACACTTCAGAATTAGTATGAATTTCCTTTTCATCTAGACCCATGCCACTGGTCCTGTGGTCCATCTTAACAAAAATATCATTTCCAGAGTCAAATATATTTTCCTCTTTATGATTTGATTCCAGAATTCTATTTCCAGCTCTATGATCTTTGAAAGTCGCGTCTTCTTCATCAAACGTATAAGCACTTCGAGCATGCCAATCTTCTTGGTCATCAGTTTTCCTACCGAAACTACCTAAATAGCCATCACCTGAATCATGCTTCTTGTTATCGTAGTTCATATTTGAAAAGACACCATACTCGTCTTCAAAAACACTAGATTGAGATTGAAAACTTTCAGAGTGATTCTTCCTTTCAACCGTCTCTTCATGGAAAGGGTTCTCAGAAGACTCAATTTCATACTCATCTTCAGGTTGGTAAGTAATAGGAGTAGAATAAGGGTCTCTTGTATGCCTTCTGCTTTTTCTCTCGGTAAAATCTTGTTTTCCGGCCTCATACTGCCCTCCATATTGAGTGTAATCTTTGTTCAAATTTATGGCATCACCTCCCTCTGTCATATTACCTTGCCTATATGAATCTTCTTGGTTCTGCATTCTTGGACTCTTCTGATCAAATGAACCACTGGTTGAATTTCTGTGCACATGGTTCTGTTGCAGCCCACTGCCAGCACTGTGATGGTGGCCATCACTCTTAACGTTGCTACAACTAGCAAGTTCTGCAGCAGCCCTTGCAGCGAAGCTTGCCATTTCTGCAGATTCAGCAGCAGCATGAGCAGCAGCAGCTGCATCCTTGAATTCCATGTTCCAATTTTGCCTGCCAGTCCCAAAAATACTTTCAGCAGTTCCAGAAGACTGACTGAATTTCATCTTCTCCGAGGAACTCTCTGCAAACATAAATATATATATCATGTCAATGAAACATGTTAGTAGCACAGCATTTAAACTACAATACAAACATCAAGAAGTAAATTTTGTGACCTGAAGATCTAGGATCAGGATGAGGAGTGGAAGATGGCGGAACTAAATCACTGTGTGTATGAGCATGTCTTTGAGAAGAAATCCCTGGTCTTGCTTTATCACGAGAATTATTTTCCTCAAGGTCGTCGGCAAGCTCATAGTTTAGGGGTTGCATTTGTATTTTATTGCCCTCCATAGATTGTGTGACTGCTACCTTCTGCAAAAAAGTTTGGTCAGGAAACCAACCTTAGGAAATTTCTAGCAATCCATGGGACATAGTGTTGAACAATGTTCCCAACTCTTCTACTATTTACAACATTCATACAATTCACTACATTTTTCGTTTACTTTATGCAAAACAGAAAACCTTAATCATAGTATGAAAATAGAAGTGATATATACGCACTTGAAAATTCTTTCTTAATTTTTTTCTTTTTAATTAATATAGCTTGAGAGAAATTTACATCATAACTTGAAAAGTGAAAGCAGTAAAATTTACTAAAAAAAGATGGATAGGGTTCCAAATAAGCTTATGCAAACAATGCCAAAGCATATACTGATATACACATTATGTATGAGATAAGTAAAGCTAAGAACTTAATTCCACACCCCACATTTTCACTAATTTTGTGAACATTGATTATATGTTCATGCAGTCAATTTAATCACATCCTTGGGCAAGCCTCCAAATAATTACGACTAAGCAAATTAAATTGTAGCTATCAAGTTGAGGGGGTATATCCCAATTCTAAGTGACTGGCCTTATTTAAATGTGATACGCACATTAAATTATACTCCCTGCAAGATAATCTGTTTGTAAGGGTTTAAACTTCTTTAACATTAAATCTATACTATATATTAAAAGGCGTTACTAAAGAAGATTAGGTGCCACGTGGAACCTTCCTTAAATTCACGTGTTTAAAAATATAGCTTGTACAAGATTTGAACCCACTACCTTAAGTTTTAAAAGTATAGCGTTAGCCATTGAGCTATTACCATATTATAATTAAATCATTCTATTAAAATTAAATATAAATAAGGATTTCAATCATGGAATTAATGCAGCAGCTCGGGGCATCGCCCAGGCCTAAAAACTAGTTAGTCAATTAAATCAGAGTGACTGCATTGAAATTGTAACTAGGTAAGCCTCGTGCGATGCACAGATTTGACAAAAAATAAAAATAAATAAATAAATAAAGTTGTTTAATTTGTTTACAAAATTTTAACAATAAACTTAAATTATATAGCTTAGAAGTGAAAACTTTACACGATTGGGTGGCTAAATAATGGCAAGAGTTTAGTTAAGATCATTAGGAATAGGAGTAATCATATACCAACTCCAATAATTTTCAATGTTAAATTATAAAAACCAATATTCAAAGAAAAACAATATATTTAGGGAGTAGAAACTATAATAATTAATTATAAGTAGTAAATCTCTAGTAATTAATTTTAGGTAGTAGTATTAAACTTTGGTAATTAAATATGATTATAATAAAGCTAATTTTTAAAAGGTGTATTGTAAATTGTAATGCAGTGTTTGGAGGGGGTAAGAGTGAAAGATAAATTGACATTTGTCAAAATTTGAGGTAAGATGATGTCAGCAGCTTTTGTTTTAGTAATAGTTATAGAAGATTATAGACAATTACCCTACATTATAAGATAGTTATTGTTGTTCACTGGTCAGCGATATGCAATTAAGATGGGTTCAGATTAAAAAAAAATCTTGAAAAATCCAGGGTAACATTTGGGGCATTCCAAAGTGGAAGCCCCATGAACACTACAGGACGGAGGGAGTTCAGTAAATTATCGAGGCTACATAACCTTATTAAGTCTTACCGGAATGTCAACAGAAGGTACTGGATCTTCGTCTTTGAACCAATTTGGTTCCCATTTAATGTTATGTTCTTCCGCTATAGCAGTAAGGAGTTTCACTTTCGTCTGACCATCAGGGGCATTCACAGATAACTTTTCAACCAGCTGATACAAAGTGGTAATCTATATAAGATCAAGGGGATATGAAAAACAATTTGCCTTCACAAGTGTAATATGTAAGAAGTTATTTGTCTGACCGAATGCGATCACATTTTAATAGTACATCCTGAGAAAACTCACAGTTCTGCTTACTCCACATGCTGGGCGGACCTCAGAAGCAGCAGTGGCAAACTCTTTACCATATTTTGCCGTGAAATGCTTGCGAACATCCTGGAGCTCAACAATGTCTCCACACCTTGGAGCTGCAAATATTAAACTCGCAATAGCTTCTTTCAAGTCAAGAGGACAATTTCTGTAAAAAAAGCCAGAGACATCAGCACATAACAAGTCAAACACCGTAGACCGAAGAAATATCTAATTTTTTATGATTATAGCAATCACATATAAGATCACAACTAACCAATTACTTGTCTGCCAGTAAGAATGAACATTTGCAGTTATCACGAAAGTTAAAAAAAATAAAATATTTTGACTTCTCTAACTTTCGCTATGTGTCTGCTATAAATCGTTTAAAACATGTGCAAGTCAATAACCATTTTCGAGATAAGGAAATGGTAATAAGGGAAGTTGAGCAGTTAGGAGTCATAGGCACATTGTGGATAACGAACACTTTTGTAGGACGCCCCAAAAAAAAAAGACATTAAAGGATGGCGCGAGTACATACATCTTTCTTCCTTTTTCATATAGAGAGGGATAAGAGAGCAGTTCATGTCAAAGGAATTATATACGGAGTATCCTTTAAAGACCATGGGGAAATTAATGGGAAAAAAGCACAAATTGCTAGACAAATAGAAAATATATTGTGTTCATTAGGCCTACTATACACTATACAATATCATATAAGGGTCAGGAAGATATTAGTAAACTAATAAATTAATAAGCATCTTCAAATAACATTATTTTAAATATAAATAAAATTATGTTCTTTGTCAGCCATTCGTCAAATTAGAATTTGCATTCCAATTTTTCTACTCATAACCCATAGAATAAGTTTCTTACAAGAAAAATATCAACCCTGCTAGAGAACTCAAAATTAATCCAATATGCCTCAACTTTTAGCCAATTTTGATGTCACATTGTCGTTTTATTCTTTAAATTTTATGTTAATCTTTTGCTAAAATGAGCCACTCATCACAAACATTTAAAGTACAAAATTTTACTATCAATCACATTCCAATATTGGCCAAAAGAAACTTTCCACAAGCCTTGTTGATTATAGACTAATATTCCAACAATGCAACAGCAGCTAGTTCATGAAAACAGATTCAAGAAACTGTAAAAATTGTGCTCAATAAGTATGAAAATGATTTATTACATTTATATGTCAAATGGCTTCATTATGGATAGGTATCAATTCCAAAGTCATCGAAAGACAAGCCAAGAATTGTTATTCAGCAGTCAGCACAAGACTTTAGACAAAAATCCCCTTTCAGTAATATTTATCAAAATCCTATCATGAGCCCATGGCATCCATAAGCATACACAATCCATCCGGCCATCCCAATCAATCCACAACACGAGACAAAGTAATGACATCATTCATTAAAATATGAACAGGAGGAATTATTTTTTTCAGGTGCAATAGGAAATTAGGAAGTGCCTAGGCCTGTCTAAATAAGAAAATTAAATATATCCCTAATTCATATACTTACAGCCATTAACAACCAAAAAAAGAAAGAAAAAAAAAAAAAAGAGCAAGCACACCCCAATTACAGCAAATGCTCCAAAGCTTGATACATTTGAAAGATGGAAGCCTACATTACAGCACTACTGCTTTTTGGAAAAGTACCTTTTACTGGATAAAGCTTATGAGTTATACCATAAGATTGTCACACGCACGCACACACATACCCGCACACGCGCGCGGGCGAACACAAGCACACACACACACACGCACACACTAAACTACTGCTTGTAGCCTTTAAAAAAAAGGTTTCACTGAGCATTCTTTGGCACAGCATTTATGTGGTACATCCAATTTCAAGAATCTCAGAGCTCAACATGAAGCACTTCATTTTAAGAACAGCGTAAATGACATTTTAGCTGGACAGTTCAAATAATAAATAAACAAGATAAATTTAATCACTTATTCATAAATCATAAATGCTAACAGTTCAAATATAAATGTAATTACAGTATAAAACAGCCTCCATATAGCAATGGCTACTTCTTACATGATACATATATAGGAGGTTCACCAGAAAAAATCTATCAAACAAAAAATAAGTTCAATATGACCACAAGAAAAGGTGTTTACAGAAAGATTCCTCGATTTTAATGAAAAGACTATCTAAAGAACTTGTTGCATGATACATACAAAGGAGGTTCACCAGGATAACACTAACAAAAAGAAAAGGTTAACCCCAAAGACAATAAAAGTTATTTTGAGCAAGAGTCCTCGAGTATAATGAAGAGATAGAAGACATTGCCTAAAGAAAACACATAAGAGCAATACACATGAAAACTATGAAATAGCCAAATTTTTTATGATACATACTTTTGCGACTCGATGATTGGCAACCGCGCAACGACAAGCTCACAGTATATCTCAATCATTTCATATGCAGCAATCATCTTCTCTTCCCTTATCACATGCTCAACCTGAAATAAGAATCATTTCATATGAATATGTAAGCAAACAGAACTCGATCAGACAGTTGAATTATAAATATAACTGATATAAACACCAGATCTATCCACCATTTTAAGGGGAAAATGAAGAGCATACACAAATAAAGCCTCGAAATGAATAATTTCTACATTATTTTAAACTAATCTACTTGAATATAAAGAGTGCATTAAATTTAATCAAATATGCAAAATTTAATTGAAAATGAAGAAAATTTGTCCTATTAACATTTAAGGATTAATTGACTAATTATTAACCAACCTGAAACATTTCAAGAACACGACTGTGAGTAGAGTATACAAGTTACTGTTATCATATGTCTTAGACTGAAACTTAAGTAAACCATTCAAGATCAGATAACCTCACAGCAGAGATGATCAGGACTCATCAATATTGTTATTGGGATTAGATTGAGTTATTTTTTCGTGTTAATGTTATCGATCAACTTAGATCAAATAGTCGAAGTCAATTCACTAAGGGAGTAAAAAAAAAAAGAGTTTTACAGCAGAATCTTCATTACTTCAGTAAGACTTCACTAAAAGTAACCATTTCTTGCACATTAAAGACTAATTACATTTCTTTTAGACAGGCCACCTAAAAATCTAGTTAACCATCAAAGAATCAATCAGTAAACAACAAACTTTTTCACATCAAATCTCACTATGAACGAAACTTATAAAAACCAAATAAAATCCAAATCGTAAAATCATTTATTAACCAAATTTAGCATTATATAATTGCACGTAACCTCAAAATTACATGATTCAACAGAATAATCAAAATTAAAGATGAAGTAATCGATAAACATACTCGAATTCGGGCAGTTTGATCCTGTCCAGAATCAAGCAATTGAGCTACTTCTCTCCTCAATTGCTTCAATTGTATATCCTTTCTATTCTTCATCAATTTTATCCGCGACTTTGCAAGATTCAATGCCGTTTTACTGAAAAAAATTCAATCAAAATTCACCAACAAAAATTCAATTCAGTAAAAATAAACTCAAAATTCATATTCAAAACCAAAAAAAAAACAAAAAATCAATGATCAAAGTTTACCATTTCGCGGGTTTAAATCCTCTATGCAACATAATTTTAAGCTGAGATTTATCAGAGAAATAGGGTTTACGTGATAAAAGTATAGATACTGAATCAATCGAAAAGCGAGATTCGAAGAGTCGTAGGATAAAGAATCGAAAAATGAATGAAATAGTGAAATTTTAATTAGGGATTTATTTTATTGATTGGGGAAGAGGATGAGACGGAGTACATACGGTTGGAAGATGACTTTTAAATAAATTACGCGGTGTACTTTTTTAATTTCTTGTTTCTTCTCCCAAAGAAATGAATTTTCTTTTTGTTTCGTCAAATAAAATACTAACAACGGAAATTAGGAGCTTCTTTTGGTCTTCTTCCTACCGAACTACCAATTTTTTGACCGATGTGAACACACGTATTTTATGGAGAAGGATTGATTTTTCCACGTAAACCAAGATTACTTAATGTGCAATGTAAAGGTGAGTTTATCACTCATATGAGTAATATACAAGCTTGTACTTCTTATGTTCGGTTTAATTTATTTAAGTCAATAATAAATAAATTATTAAAGCAAATGATTGATAATTGAAGTAATTAGCAAAGAGCAATTAAGAAATTTGATAGTTATAGAGACAAGAAATGAAAAGTGGGAAAATCCTTCAAGCAATTACTTGAAGACTATAAAACTCATCCAAAGCAAGGAGAATAGTTATATTGATTTCAATTAGTATTTACAAGAGTAATCTCTCACTAATTTTCACTCTAAAGCACAAGGGTTTCAAGAACAAGAACCCTAACTCTAATTGTGTTTCTCCCAATTTGGGGATAATGAAAAAAATAACCCCAAATGGGTATTTATACTAAAAGGAATGGTGTCCTTCCAACAAGTGTATTATTCCGATATAGGGTTCGGAATTATTAGAAAGATAATTCTTCAGTGAGGTCAAGTGATCGGAATGCCTAGGTCGAGGCCGCTTCCGATCATTAATAATTAATGCATAATTAATATTACGGCTTTAATCTTGACTGAACCCTTCGGGTCGCACCCCTATCGAATGACCGATCCGAAATGACGAATCAATCCGAAGGATTAGATGAGTCATTAGAGTATTACGAACAAAGACGTCGGATATCGAGCATAGAGCGTCGAGACCGAGCGTCGCAAGTCGAGTCAAATTTAGAATTTGACGAGACGTGGAATCAAGCAAGCAACAAGTACGAGCCAAGCTGTAGCATCGCATTGGTCTAGCCATGCGAGTGCTAGGCTAGGTAAGGTTCCAAACTGCATGCGTGCTAGTGTGCCTAGCATTGCCTAGCACACGCACATTGCACAACACGAGCATCGCAAGATGCGTGCCATGCGTATGTGTGTTGTGGCTATGCATGCATGGCTGGGCGTGCTTGCTAGCATAGTAGCACCAGCCGCATCATCGCTAGCATCGCAGCATGCTTGGGCATCGCACAACACGGCACACAGCATCACAAGCCATGCCTGTGTGTGTGGTTGTGCGTGCTAGCCAGCGTAGCAGCACCAAGCAGCAGCAGCTGGCTGTGCATGCTTGCTAGCATAGTAGCACCAAGCAGCAGCAGCTGGCTGTGCGTGCTTGCTAGCGAGCAGCACCTAGCACTCGCCACTCGCACAGCAGCAGGCACCAAGCAGCAGTAGCAGCACATGCGTGTGCTGGCTGGCTGCGTGCTAGCTGGCTGCGCATATGTTGCAAGCTGGCTGGCTGGGCTGCCCAGCCTTGGTGCTAGGCGCCAGCTGGTAGCCTCTGCCAGCCAGCCAAGTGGCGAGGTGGTGCGGTTTTTGTGTGGGGACCAAAATTGAGGGGTTGCTTGGTGAGCAAGGGGATTTAGTTCCCCCCTTGAATGGTCCTCACCTACTCTATCCCTCCATGTGACACTTGGAGCTTGTTGATTGCCTTACATTTTTATGTTGTTTTTTATTAAAATAAAATATAGGAAAATGCAAATCTTCCACATTAATGGGAGAAGGGAGATCAAGGCTCCCTTCCCTATAAATACCCAAGTTTTGGGTTTGGGAAACTTCACTTGAGTTGAACTCAATAAGGCATCTCATCATTAGTGAGAAAACCTTTAAGTTCGTAATACTCTAGTTTTATTTGGTCAAGTCCCGACAAACCTTCGGGATTAAGACAGTTCGGGTTGGGTCGAGGGTGTGAGCCGTAGGAGGTCGTAGCACTTGCGTGGCTCGAGCTTTTAAGTAAGAGCTCGTGAATTGAGCGAAGCACGCGTCAAGGGTAAGAATGTATTTTCTCTTTCTCTCTCTTATGTTGTTAATTATGTGATTGCATGTTTAGTTGCTTTTATTAGTGAGCGGGTCTTGGGCGGGTTTCTCTACCGCGTAACGTTGGACGCTACGAAACCCAACAACGGTATCGGAGCCGCACTCATTTTAATTATTGTAACTAATAATTAATTGAGGTGATTTAAAATGGATTTAAATTCTGGTTTTGCTTTCTAATTAGATTAGAAGCTCGTTTTAATTAGTTTTAATCTCGTATTTTACTAATTTTGGCCAACGAACCCAGATTTCGACTCAAAAATAGTGATTTTTGGGAGGAATCAATGTTCAAAATCGTTTTTGACTCTTTTTAAGGGTTGTCCAAAAGCCAAAATCCACCCAGAAACATGTTTATCGAGGGGTTTTTCGTTTTTAACGAAATTTTTTAAATCTTTAAACCTTGATTTATTATGGCATGTTAAAGGTAGATTAAATGTATGGTTGCATCACTAATCTACTGCAATTATAAACCTTGTTAAGCATGTTTATGAAGTCATAATTAGTGCTTAATTTGGTGAGTTCATTTTTCACATAAACATGAAATTTTCACATTTTTGCAAATAAATTGTTTAAGTGTGAATGTTTATGGTGAACTTGTAATTTTGAAGTCCCTAATATGTTAAAGATCCAATCTTTAATTGTTTATTTGGTTGGAACTTTGATTGCTAAATTCCATGTTGAACTAATTCTTGGATTTAATCATTTTTGAGTTGATTAAAGTCCTAAAAGTTCAAAACTTGTGATTGAAATTTAATTAATCTTCATATTGGAAGATGTAATTTTTCAATTATACACAAGTTAGTGTTGGAAATTTTTCATTAGATGAATGGGTTTATTTTTCCAACCTCTTTAATTTTGATAAATCTCATTATTAATTTATGTATTGTTAAATTAATTATGAGTATAGCCCTTCAATTTTGTAGCATCAAGATGAACCTAAATTGATTTAAAGAATGGTTCTTGAATAATTTAGGCTTGTGCACTACTAAAGTTGAATTTAAATAAGTTGGACTTGATTCATTTTCATTTTTGCTCTAAATTGGTTCTAAAAATAAATTTAGAAATACTTTTTTTTATCACACATATCGGGAATTAAAATCCCAAGGCAAGTGCACACAATTCAAGGCAAAATCGCCCAAGACACGCCCCTAGGCTAGTTGGGCTGCTCAAGTAGCCCACATGTGGCTGCCAAGGTGCGTGATGGGTTGCCTTGCCTCGTAGATGCACTTGTGCATGGTATGTGTGAAAGAGTGTGATGCACATTTAGTGCTATAGGTTGTGTGAGAAGATGTGTGTGCTGTGTGAAGGTGCCCGCAAGTGCTGCTCGGCAGCGAGGCATGCGAGCCCAGCAAGCCCACCACACGTTGCCAGCATGCACGCAAGCATGCGTACCTTGCTGCGATGCGTGTGGTGCCAGCATGCGTGGCGTGCTCTGCTAGTCAGGCATGCTAGTACGCACAGCCACGGCACCTAGGGGCAGCAAGGCAGCCATGGTGGGCAGCCAGCACCCTAGGCAAGCAAGCCACGACCTTAGTGCCTAGCAAGCCTAGCCCCGCGGCTTTGATGCTAGGCACTTGGGGCATGTTGAGGGCTATTGTTTTGCGTAATTGGGGCCATTTTAATTATTTTAACGAGGCTAGGCCTCGGTTCCTCCGGCACTTGCAAAATAATTTTGGCAAAATATGGGTTTACCGGCTTAATTAATTGGATTAATTAAGTTGGATGCGGAATTTAGTGGGAGCTTCGTTAATTACTTGAACTAATTGCGTTTTAATCACATAAAATGGTTAACAACCTTGACTAGTTTTAATTAGGCGCGTTAATTGGATTAACTGCCTAAGTTAGTTCCTAGTTTGCGCGTGTTATGCGTTGTTACTTGTTTATCGTTGTAAAATGCATGGGCCATTCACATATAGTGAATGGATGAATGGAATGTATATTGTTTCACAGGTATTATGAAAATGGCAACTAGTGGGGCCCGACTAGGATAGTAAATACGGTCTGCGATCCGTTATGTATTTTTATAAATCTAAATACGGTCTGCGTATTTTTGTACCTTAATATGTAGATTATTCCTAGAGTAGTAGCTAGTAATTGCATATTTGGTGGAGATGTCTCGAAGACGGCGTTTCTAAGAAGACAAGCCAAAGAAGTTGCATCGGAGACCCTTGAAGATTTGAAGACTTAAGGGGTCATGGTAGTTGGTAAATGCATCTTTTACTTATTATTTATATATTGTGTTTATATATGATTGAATTGTATGGTAGATGCATGTTTATGATTTCAAATGTTGCGATGATTAATCAAGTTCACTTAAATCAACCAACATAGAAACCCTAGGTCCCTATAATATTGAGCCAAATTTGTCATTCCAAGAACGACACTTGCCGAACTAATGCGCGTGGTGATGGGCTACGCCAAAGCGAGGCATCACCGCTTCCCTAGGAACGTAAGGTATACTATGTATACAAGTCGTCTTGGTTAAGCTCAACGATATCAGTAAGGAGTCCTTAGATGTCGTGGCAATGGAGATAAAATGTCAAGGAAGCATTAGATGCGACTTTTTATTGAATCAAGTGTAGCTTGGAGCTATTAGCAATTGGATTGCTTACCCTAAAATATTAAGTGTTAAGACAAGCCAAAGCATGCTTAATCACTTTTTGATTTTTGGGATCTTGGAATTATTTTATTCTCGCCTAAAACGGGCTAATTTTAATGTGTGGATAAAATGCTCAATAAGATTGAATATTTGCATGTATGCTTTAAATTTCAAACTTATTGGTTTTATGAATGGTTTTTCATTTCAAATTATTTCAATTGTAGAAACATGTCTGCAAGTAACTCAATCAACAACAATTCTATATGCCCGGAACTCTCCGACAAGTTGGCTTTTAGCCTTAACTTGGTCAACTTCAAGGAATGGGAAGAGGAACTCAGGAAAACTCTTCGGAATTGTTCCTTGGAGTACACTCTTGATACTCCCATTCCAAGCTTCTTCTCTAAGGGAATC